TTCACAGGTGGGCTGGGTCAGGTTGTTTCCTGTGAGCTGAACAAAGATATTTTAGTTTTACGGGGGTGGGGTGGGGGGGGTGGGCAGGGTTCTCGGAGATGGGCCATTATGTTACTTTAAGGCAACATCCCTTTAGTGATTAACTTGTAGCAAGAGAAATAGAATACAAAGGTTAAAGTAAAAGAAACAGATCTAATATGGAGTCAGATTTGTTGTTCCCTATTACAATTCTCCTTGTGTGTCTTCTGTCTCTATGTCCAAACATAACTTTTCTTGTAAGAAAGGATTAGGGCCCACCCTAATCCAGTATGACTTCTTTGTAACTTGATTATTTCTGCAAAGACTCTTATTCCAAACAAGGTCACACTCACAGGCACCCAGGGTTTAGGACTTGAATATATCTCATGGGTGTGGAGGATGCCCAGTTCTACCCATACAGGTAGGAAGCAGGGTGGAGTGCATGCTGAACAGGAAATTGCGAGCTACTTGGAAATCTTGGGACTACCTGGCAGGGGAGTGTTTTCCTATCTGGGATGGGGGTGGGTGGGTGTTGGAGATGTCCTTTCTTTTTTTTTTTGGTGTTTTTTTCTTCTTATTATTATTGAAGTGTAGTCGATGTACAACGTTAAGTTAATTTCAGGTGTATAGCAAAATGATTCATATATTTGTGTACATGTATATATACACATATATATACATATTCTTTTTCAGATTCTTTTCCCATGTAGGTTATTATAAAATATTGAGTATATTTCCCTATGCTATACAGTAGGTCTTTGTTGTTTATCTATTTTATATATAGTAGTGTGTATACGCTACTCCCAAATTCTAATTTATCCCTCTCCCCACACCCATGGAGATGTCTTATGTGGATGTTAAAGGAAAGGTTTCCCCCAGAAGGCTAGAGAAATTAAAACCTTCCAGGTGGCTTGGAAATCCCTTGTTTTGGCGGGCCTTGCAGAGATAACCCTAGGTTGTCCTGCTGTGTGAACGAACACACACACACACACACACACCTTGAAGCATGAAGCCATTGTGGCAGAGTACTGAAATAGGCTGCTGAATTTGGAGTCATAAAACCTGGATTCTCAGGCAACCTACGCCACTAACAAAGTGCTAGATCCCAAGAGCTTCAATTTCTATCTTGGTAAAATGGGATTCATAATCCCCTTATTCCAATCTGTCCTGCAGCCCAGCGGGTGGTGTGCTGAAGAGTGTAGGAATGGAAAGCTTTATCTATGGAGGTAGCTTCCGCCACATCCTAGATCTCCAGTGGGGGAAATTCACGAAGAATATTCCTACAGACCATACCACATCCCCTGTTGCTGGGTCTGGTGGACCAAAGTAAAGAGAAAGGGGAGGAAAGAGAGGTTAACGTTGCATTTTCTTCTCTTTGTTTACAAAGATTCAAATTCACCCCCCTCCCCCTGGGGTGTAATTTGGAGAATAGGGTAGGGATGGGGTGGGGCCATAGAGCCCCCAAGGGACCATGTAGCAGGCAGTCATCCTTCTTTAACCTAATGAGGTATAGGAATCGGGACGTAGTGCAAATAGACATTATCCAGCGATATCTCAGCCTGGCAGTAATTCACCAATAGATTGCCAGCTACCAGGTGTCACAGGAGCCCCAAGTTTTACTTTTTCCCTGGGCCCCATAAGTTGTAAATCCAGTGCTGACATTTCAGTAAAAATACCCAGAAGGAGTCCTCTGGGTGCTAGATGCAACACAGACAAGTATATTAAAGATATTCAGAAAATGATGACTTTTCGAATAGGTTTTTAATGCCAGACATATGTAGTACTGACTGAAATTCAGGTGTTTAGCAGATTTGGAGATTTTACTTCGGCTACCCCAGCTGGCGTCCGACACATTCCAACATTTTTCTTCTACTTGATACATCCATTTTTAATCCCTTCAGATGCCTTTCTTTTTGGTGAATTGGGAGGAGAGAACACCCGTCGCTTCATGTCTTTCAGTTCCTATTTTGCATAAATCAACCAGGAATTAAGATTTATACAATCACTTCATATCTGAGTTGTCAAATATTTCACTGTTGGGGGATATATTTGCATATCTGAAAACACATTGGCCTCTGCATGTTTAAGGAATGCAGAGAATATCCAGAAACTTCCAGAGATGTATCCATGAGAGCAGAGTTAAGGAGGTGATTATGGGGCAAGGGGACCCAAGAAGGTAGCAAGTCCAGGTCACGAGATGAGGAAGAAGGAAGATTTCCAGACCTGACTTAGTCTGACCTCCTGGTTATCCCAGCCAACATTGACCTAGCTTGGGTTCCCCAGAAGCAGACCTCGGAACAAGAATTTGGGTGTATTTGGGAGGCCATCCAGGCAGCACCAGAAGGGGAGTGGGAAAGTGCAACAGGAAAAGGAAAGAAGCTAATGCTGGGTGCTTGGTGAGCAGGCAACTGCTACAGGCAATGGGGCTGCCCCAAGGCAGTCCTGAAGGGGACCTCTGGGGGACTATAGAACATGCTCCAGAGATGTCCTACCTTAGGGGCCAGGAGGCAAGGTATTAACAAATTCCTATTAGATGTTATTTTTATGTCTACTCATGTGGTTGTTAACTTCTTGCATAAAAAGTTTGCTCAGCTCAAAGAAAACAGGCCTGTAGCCCTGTGGTTCCCAAACTGTGCACCGAGGCACCCCAGGGTGCCACAGAAAATTCACAGGAGAAGACAGGAAGATTTTACAGTTTTGAGGGAAACACGGCAACATCTATCCAACACTGTGTGAGCTTTTAGTTTGAGGCAGCTCAGTGTTATAGGTTGATTTGTGTCTCCCCACAAATTCATATGTTGAAGTCTTAACCCCCAGGACCTTAGAATGTGACCTCATTGGGTTGAATAACTCTAGTGCTGGGGAGCTCATTCTCTCTCTATGGAACATACCCATTCACGAACCTAAAAGGGAACTACTAATAGCATGCCTTGAGCCCTTGCTGGATACTAGGCTCTATACATTCATCATTTCACTTAGTCCTCCCAACTGTATGAAGTGGGCATCACCATTACTATTTATATATAGTACATGATGAAATTGAGGCTTGCAGATGTGAAATGACTTGACCAAGATCTCATTACCAGTAAATGACACAGCCAGGATTTGAACACAGGTCTTTTCTATTCTAGAGTCCTTTCTATTTCCAGTTCTTGCATGGCTCTGACAGGTGGGTGTTAATAACAAAAGAAAAAAGAGCTAACATTAATTGTGCACTTCCTTTTTGCTAGGCGTTGTTCTTCACATGAATTACCCATTTGGTTTCATCATAGACCTATGAGATGATCATTGAGGCTGCTCCGTGGCCAAGCCAGTCAGACTCCAGAACTCACGCCTTTTAAAACAGTGTTCTGCCGTGTATTTCCTCATATTGAGCCGAAACCTTCTTCCTATTCTTTGGGCTCAGACAAAACTAATTGAGCTCTTCTTTGCCAAGCCTGTCCCTCAAAGCCGTATGAAGACAGCCCTTTGTTCTGCTTGGGGCTGAACATTTCTCATTCTATCTTGTTTTTCTCATCCCCTCTCATCCCCAGCCCCATCTTCTGAACACAATTCAGTTTATCTGCATCCTTCTGAAAGTGCTTGCTGATGGCTTAATGCTGCCCACAAAGGAAGCAGGAAGACCCAAACTTCCTGTAAAAAGAAAGGTCAGACTCAGTCTTCGGACAAGGGCAGGAAAATAACGACTTCTAAGCGTCAGCGTCTGGAGCTGTGTGGCTGGGCGTTTTGTATTCTCTGGAGGCTCATCTTGCAGCAAGGCCTTCTAAAGAGAAGGTGCGGTCATCGTGCGGCCGTGGTGACATCTTAATCCTCAGCACAGCAGCTCAAGGGTTAGAAATAAGAGTCAGATTGAACCAGCGTGAAATAACGCCAAGGATAAAGTGTGTAAATCAGAACATGTGCAATCAATCTGCAAGCTGGAACCGACCCCGCAGGGCTACTGGAAGGATTAAATGAGTTCATGTAAAGTGCTTGGTAGAGCACCTGGCACAGAGCGTGTGATCAATAAATATTAGTATTAATATCTGGTGTGAAATGAACACTGCACTGCAAAAATGACTAATTCTTCCTGGGAATGTGGTGTCAGGACATAATAATAATAGTTGCCACTTAACTAGGACTCCTCATGTGCTCAGCCTTTACATAATGATCTGTTTTAATCCCTGACACCTGTGGCAAAGTTATTTTTCCCCATTGGAAAGAAATGGAAGCCAGGCTTCAGCCACATTAGGCATCTTATCCAGGGTCATGAGACTAATTGATTTAAGAGGTTGGATTTTAGAATCAAACAGGTCTGGCTTTGAATTCCAGTTCACACACTTTCTGTGTGACCTTAAAGATGTCAATCTCTTTGTGCCTCAGTTTCCTAGTCTGTAAAAGAGGGTAAGGAAATACCTTCCTTAATGACATGCTGTGAGGACTGAGTTAATGTATGGAAAACACTTAGCACAGTATCTAGCACATTCCAAGCACTTAATTGTCATGCACACATAGACATATGTATGTATACATTTATGTGTGTATGTATATGTGTGTGTGTGTGTGTGTGTGTGTGTGTGTGTGTGTGTATGAGGGATCTGAAGGATGAATAGGTGTGTTTGTCAGGTGGATAAAGGAGAGAAATCTCAGGTTAAAGTAATTGCAGGGCTAAAGGCCCACATTGATCTACAGCCCAAGGCACAAGAAATCACTGGCGGGCTATGGCAGGACAGGGTAGTTTGGAAGGAAGGAGTCGCTTGTAGTTAGACGGAGACAAAGGGTCGAGGTCCTCAGGCCTGAGAGGAGAAACCAGAGTTTGGAGAAAGTGTCTCCCCCGGCCAGCCGCCCGCTCCCAGCCACGGACCCAACGGCTTGGGAGAGTTCGCGACCCCGCCCCCACCAAACCCAGCCAATGAGGAAGCCCTCCACGGGGCGTGGCGTTGCCAGGCGACCGAGTGGGCCCCCGGCTTTGCAGTTAGCCGCGGCTTTCGCTCCCTCTCCGCGGGCGCTCAGCCTCAGGATGGGTGTCTGCGGGCCCCTCCATGGGCCCCCCTCAGACTTTGTCAGTGGAGTTTTATTTTTTTAGTTCATATTTTATTTTTGTTTCTAGAAGACAAAGATATCCCCTTCCCAAACGGGGAAAAACTCATAAATGTTTGTGACTGTCTAAAAAGTAAGTCCAGGCTTGCCTGATTTCACCCTGCCGGGACTTCCTTATTCTGTTGGTGGGGAGCCCAGAAGACTTGCTTTCCCATTCCTCCCCAGTCAGAAACGTGTCTGGAGTCTGTGTCTTTAGGACCTGCGAGTCGGGGAGAAATTGCTGGAGCCCCTGACACCAGTGACTGCTGAGGTAGAAGATTCTGGAAGAAAACACACAGACACACACACACACACACATCTTCCCTAGGGGACACAGGGAAGCCTGAAGGATTTCCAAGATGACCAAGGTACCAGCCACCAAGAAGATACAGAGTTCCCCTGCCTCGGGGGCCCTCTGGCCCTTTTATGCCTCAGATCTTCTAACGCAGGTGAGTCTCCCCTCTCTCGTGAAAGCAGTCGTGTTTTCAAGACGAAAAATAGGAATTAGCCTCCAGACCAACAAGGGACGGGGTGGGGGTGGGGAAGAAGAATCACAGTGTAATTAAATTGTCGGGAAACATCCCCGTCGCTATCAGTGGTTGGTTACTCGTAAAGACTGAAAACGCCAGCCAGAACGGGGAGCTGGGCCATCCTATTAGCCAGTAATTCCAAAGTGATGGAATAAATCGGCAGTGACACTGTAGAACATCAGGAAAAAATTAAGATGAATTGTAGGTTTGCCATCGAAGAAATTATTTTCGGAGGTCCGCTGGGCTTAGGGTACGTGCACGTCCTTTCCCTTTGTGGAGATTACGGTGTCAGACTCTGGGGTTTGAAGCCTGACTTGCGTCTCAGCAGCTATTGAGATTAGATAAATTGCTTAGCATCTCTGAGCCTTTATTTGCTCGTGTCTGCAAGATGCGAACAGGAACACCAACTAGGCAGAAACAGGGTGAGGAGGAAGATATGGAAATTGTTCATGGAGATGCTGACACTTGATAATGTGTATATGGGACAAGAAATACTGTTGTTGGTTTGAAAGACAGAGAAAAATCAGTATGTGTTTAGTGTCGGAGTCAAGTTGTTTCTGTTTTTAAATGATCACAACTGGGCAGGCCTGTTATGTCTCTGTTAAGTGTGTCTTTGTTATTGTATCTGCAAACGCCCATATCACCACTAATTGGCCAAGGTAGGGAGAGGGTCAAAGGCAATTACTGGCCCACAGCGGTCCACGCACAGTGGCATATCTTGTGGCTCAAGGTCCTGCCCTAGGAAGGAGGGCCTGGGGGGAAGTCAGGGCACAGAAGAGAAACTCACCCGTGCTTACGTGGTGGTCCAGAGTGTTCCTGAGCTTATATTGATATTGCCTAGAATTGACACAGCTGTTTGCACCCCTCATTGCTCAGCCCTCTTAATGAGCTCACTCTTCAAGATGCAGTCTTCACGTGTCTCCTTTTGTCTCAGAAAGCTACCCGGAAATGGGTTTTATCCAGAGCAGCCCCCTCTGGGAACAAACTTCCCAGCATAGCAGTGGGGGAAGGGAAGGAAGGAAGGAACAAGGAATGAGGTAGAAATTTCAGAAGCAGCGATGAGTGTGAGCATGTGGGCGGTGGACCCAAATAGCCTGGCTTGAACCTTGGATCTGCCTCTTGGCAGCCCTGTGACCTTGGGCAAGTTACGGAACTTCTCTGCTTCAGTGTTGCCGTCTGTAAAATGGGAGTATCATAATACCTGCTCATGGGATTGCTGTGAGCCTTCAATGATATGTCCAAAACTCCTGAGAATAGCGTCTTACACATAGTTAGCACTTCCTAGATTTTCGTTACATGGTTTCATTCATTTAGCAAACACTTACTGAATTTCTGTTGTGTGCTAAATACGTGCTCTTGTGAAAAGCGTCACAATCAGTAGTGTGTCTGTTTGGGATGGGAAGTAAAAGAGATAAGAAACATTATTGTAATGCAGGATGATTAATGATGTGCTGGGGATGTATCATTGGGTGTGGTGGGAATGCAGAGGACAGGTAACTCAGACTCGTGTGTGGGGCGAGTGTGGGGGGAGATTGGGGAGGGAAGAGGTCATGTAGCCAAGTAAATGCAATAGAGTTTTCCATCTTGGGTTAGAGAGACTGAGGAAGGTGGAGGAAGATGCAGAGGTTGAAATGATCATCTCTTTCTTGAGAGGAGGATAGGCAGGACTCCAGGAGGTCAAGAGATGGGAAGCAGGCTTCCAGGGGCTGTTGAATAAACAAGACCTCAGGCACAAAACTCATGGAAATCCTGCTGCCCCCGGCTCACTGGCTAGAAAATAATGAAGACCCTAGGGTGTCCCTGGCTCACATTTGAAGTATCGCGCCTTCAGAAATTGCAACTTTTTAGAGCTACCGTAAAGCGTCGATTAATCTAAAGCAGACTGACTAGAAAGTGGCCAGTCACAAGAAAATATGTAGAGATTAGCATCAACTTCTGGTGTAAATCACACTAAGAGCAAATTGCAGTTTTATTGGTGTAACACACGAATACCAGTGGCGATACCAATGATGATGGTTGCCATGTATTGAATATTCACCACGTGCCAGGTTCTGAGCTCAAGTCTTAACATGTGATATTTCCCAACCATCCAGAACACTTGGAGGTGTGAACTGTCACCTCCTCATGCGATAGATGGCAATACCAAGGCCCACTGAGGACAGGTCCTTTACCCAAGGACACCCAGTCAGCAAGGCACAGAGCAATGGTTTGAGATCAGAGTTCTCTGGCTCGAGAGCTCAAGCCCTCCCTGCCTCACCGTGCTGAGCAGACGGTGACAGTGGCTAGCACACACCACGGGGGGCGCAAAGGGAAGGTGTAAGGCACACTCACTGGCTTCAGATAGTTTTCAGGTTTGTTGGCTGGGGGCAGGGCAGGGGTGGGGAACAGAGGAATGCCACATAAAAAGAGAGTAACAAAGGCCGGGCAGCCAGGTGAATGTCCAGTGAGGAGTGATCCGAGGAAGGATCTGGCTTCTAGAGGAGGAAGGTGAGGCCAGCTGGGCTACGTGGTAATGCCACTTCCTGGGAGTCCACCGTGCGCTGGTGTAATAGGTGACGCTTGTGGGGAAACCCCCAAAGGGTCCTGCCGCCCACTGAAGCTGGCCATTTTCCTTCTCATGGGGACGGAAGTTGCTTTATCATAACTAATGTTATGATGGGACCCTTCCTTGCTCGGCATCTTCATGTGGGTTTTTCGATGGAAGGAGTATAAATAATGTATGCAAATCCCCTGCTTGAATGTCTTTTGTTGAGGAAACCTTCTAGCTTGCCCTAAGTGTTTAGGGAGTTCCTTTTCCCTTTGTTGCCCAAGGAAGCAAAAGAGAAATCTAATGGGATTAGCCATAGGGGAGGGAGGGAGCAGGGCATGTGTAGATTATCATGGACCCACATTTTCTTCTTTAGAAGAGACTGAAAAAGAGAGGGGCACTTAGAACACCCCCTCCATGTTCTAGAATGGAAATGCGGGAACGGCGTTTGGCAAAAACTCTAAAGGTGTGGAATCCTTTACATAAGCTCTGTCTCTTGGTGGCAGAGAGGAAAGAAGCATCCTTAGTTTGGGCAGATCCTGAAACAGCCAGGAACTAGACTGGGTGCTTTGGTGATATCCTAGCTTAGTGATTAAAAGAGGAGATTCTCAAAAATTATTTTTTTTAAAAAAAGGGACTTCCCTGGTGGCACAGTGGTTAAGAATCCGCCTACCGATGCAGGTGACTCTGGTTCGATCCCTGGTCTGGGAAGATCCCACATGCCTCGGAGCAGCTAAGCCCGTGAGCCACAACTGCTGAGCCCACGTGCCACAACTACTGAAGCCCGTGCGTCTAGAGCCTGTGCTCCGCAACAAGAGAAGCCACCACAGTGAGAAGCCGGCACACCACAACAAAGAGTAGCCTCCGCTCGCCGCAACTAGAGAAAGACCGCACGCAGCAACGAAGACCCAATGCAGCCAAAAATAAATTAATTAATTTTAAAAAAAAAAGATCCTTCAGCAAACAACATGGGTTCAGACCCCCAACTCTGACACTCAGCTATGTGGGGGGCCTTGAGCAAATCAGTGCCTCTCTGTGCCTCAGTTTCCTCCTCTGTGGAACACATTGTGTTTTATCTATCTAAGACATCTTCCGTTTCAAGAGGCATCACAATATTGTGTGAGCGCCACTAAGAAAGAAAACTCTACTGATTAAACTAGGACCTACTTTCAATTATAAGAAGCGCCCCAGTGTCAGAGATGTTGAAACGGGGAAAGAAAATGTTCATCTTAGAATGGATGAAATCCAGCTAAAAATGCTTCTGTCTCATAGGGTTCTGTGGGGATTAGGTGAGTTAATAAGGGTAAAGCTCTTAGAACAGGGCCTGGCCCAGAGTAAATACTATGAAATGTTAGCCACTGTGACATGGTGTGGTTTGATCTTTTAATTGACTCTGTGATAGAGGTGTAGTTATTACCCCCTTTTGCATCTGAGTAGACTGAGGCTTGAAGAGTGCCAGGGTCTAGTTCTCTGCTGAGAGTTAAGTTGGCAGGTTCAGGGAGGAGGGGGAAAGCTATGCAGAGTCCCGTGTATGGAGAAGACCTTGGCCTGAGCATCACTGACCCCCGTCCCCTACCATCCACCCTCTTATCGCCCCACTGCCACCACCCCTATGGTGAGAATGGAGTTACTCAGAGTTCAGCCCCCTATCCAGCTGGTCTGCCTGGAATCAGAAAAGGAAAGGTTTCCCCCAACAAGAGAAACCTCGACTCCCAGCACAATACACGTCACCGCAAACATGAAACGATTTTCCTCCTTGTCCAGATAGGAGAGCTTGTGGCCTGAAGATGTAAGTGGTGAGTCATTGGTCTTTGTTCGAAGTGGGCTCAGTGCTGGGTAATTTCTCTGGCCTCTAATCACGGAGACTGCACCCCACCCCGCACTGAATCAATGATTACCTTGGAATATAAAATAAAATAAAAGATCTGACAACCACTTGAGATTCAGTTCTGGAGAATCCCAGCCAGCTGCACCTTCATTTTTATTATAACTCGTGACTCAGGCCAGGAAAATAGTAATGAGCCCTTTTCTCTGTCCAAGAGATTCTTCTGGCTCCATCGTTACTGCATTGAGACAATTGCAGAATTTAAGCTGTTGCTTTGTTTTGTTTTGTCTTCTTTATGCCCTGGCGCTTTGGACTGGTGATGCTTGCCTCGGCAAATCTTGCTGTGTCTAATTGCAGGCCCATGTGACAGTCGGCTCCCTCCGTGATAAGTCAGGGTGCGGGGAAGGCTGTGTTCATTACCTCCTGACACAGGAAGAATGATAGGCACTTTCTTTATGCCGGACAAGATGAAGCGAGCTCTTTCACTCATCTGCAAAGAGGCAGCTGCTACGCATGGGGAGGTGAGGGCGGGGAGAGGAGTGGTAGAAGAAACACATCAGAGAGCCT